AATACTCAATTTAGGAACCATGTGTTACAGTTGTGGAACACCAATCATGATTAGTGAAGTGATATTTTTTTTTGAAGATATAGTAATATGGCCACAATGATAGTAATTTGAACCAAGGTGTTCATACTTACTCACCCTTTACTAGAAAATGGATTTTAACATCATTGGTTTCAAATTTGACTAGCATCTTCAACCCTCCAAGGCCACGTCTCAATTTCTAGGCAACTTTCTACCTCCTTAAATACTTTTACCTCATCAAATTCTTTTATGTTCATATCCTTAAATGCTTTCTTATTTGTACACTTGTATTCTTCTTTGTTGTAGTTACAAAAACTTCAAATCTATTATGTTATTTTACAACAAGAGAAGTCATTGACTTCTAGATCCTTATTATCTAACTTAGTCAAGTTATTAATTTCTATATCCTCAACTAGTTTTTTAGGTATTTACCCAAATGATCATGTCTCCAGCTAGATCCAGATGTCTATATTTTGATGTTGCTCACTTTTTTCATGTGGAAAAGTATGTTTATTCATCGCCTACAAACACTAGATTCATATATGTTGACTATCATCGTTTATAGACTTAATGTCTTAACTACCCCTTAATTGTTAATATCATTTTTGGTGAAGGAGAAAGACCAATTGAACCGAGATGCTTATACCCTAAACTCATTTACCAGTAGATAAATGATAAAAAGCTTCCCATATTGTATATTTAAGCCACATCAACAATAAGAAACTCATCACCATACAATGTTTATAAAACATGTGCCTTTGGTTAGCAGGAAAGGAATAAAAATTGAGGGAAAAGGATTCCAATTCCTTCGAATTCATGCATTTGGTTTGACTTAGATGGGGGAAAAGGATTCTTAAATTAAATAAAATTTCTACCATACAGAGGAAAGTGGATTCCTTCCAAATTTGAATGGAAAAAATTTCTTCACATCGAGGAAGGTGGTAGATTACAAAATACCCCATTTACTTATTAGAAACCAACCTCCACCACACATCACCACCACCACTACTACCTCTAACACCACCACTACCAACACTGCCATTGCCACCAATACCACCTCCACTGCCACCACCAACACCGTCACCGTCAGCACCACTACCTCCACTATTACTATAAACACTTGCCTCTACAAACCACCATCACCCACCACCACCAGTACCACTACTGTCGCCACCACCACTATACCTGATGGGTTTTCTAGATTTCTTCAATGTACTTGTAGAATTTCACATAACAAATTTTGCGGGTACATATAATCCTAGAAAATTGTATGGCTTTTCTCATAATAGAAACGTACTTTAAAACTTCAAAATAACTCTAGTAAAATCAAAAATCATAAAGGTTTAAAACAACATACCTTATTGCTATTATCGCAAATACCAATGTATTTTAAAGAACCATTTTTGGAATGCTAGCCCCAATAGTGTCGAAGCCTCTAATGAATCACACCCAAACCCTAGGAAAATCCTAGGATTGAAATAAAAGAATTTTGAAATTGCCTTGTGTTGTGATGAGTTCTTGAGTCTTGTGTAGGTCCCCATTTATAGTTGTAGGAAACCATAATTTGAATTCACGATAGTAATATTACATTTCAATTCAAATTCACTTTCATTATCAACAAAGAGGCTTCAAGAAGCTCTAGAAGAGCACCTCAAAACCGTCCCCTCCTAGGAAGGTTCTAGAATGCTTCCTTGTTCAATTTTTGAACAATTTCATTCTAACCCTTAGATCTATTAATTAATTCTAATTAATCCAGAACAATTAATTAAATTAACTTTGATTAATTATTAATTAATTACTTCTATTTCTAATTAATATATTAATCCAATAATATATTAACAAATTATTTATCTCTCTCTTATTATCAATCCATACCATTTCCTGGTTATGTGGGCAACCCAAAAAAAACTTTATTATTAATCAAAAAACTATACCAATTTAGTTAAGACCTTAGACATCCTAATCCAACAGTTTCCCACTTGGATAAGTCGTCAACTACAATTGCAAGTATAATTATCTGAGCAACTAGTAAAAAATGTATTCCAAGCCACTGCCGAACTCTGATTAAATCAAACATTAGCCCTAAGATAAGTGTTCAACTATTCCCCCGTTCTTCCTGATATCATATGGACAAGAGAAATGGATTAAAATCAATCTCATGGTCCAATATTTTTTTCTTGATTTCCCGATTTGTGTTAACGTCATTAGACTACTAATTAAACATATCAATTTAGTTCTGGTTGGGCCCAACAATTATAATGTTAACATCAAATCACTAAGGGGCCCAAAAATAACGTTTTTCCTAGTTGGGCCCAACAATTATTATTGTTATATGGTCTGATGACGATAACTATATTTTATTATAAATCTACCCCTTCCTGTCTCACTAGACTTTCCAATCTAATGCATTAACTTGATCGTGTCTCAAGTGAGAGGTTGTAGCATAGTCGTATGGAGTAAGAGACATGTGATTGATTTGTTGAGGGACTCTTAGATGTGTTTTGGGGCATTAAAGATAGGTTGACATTTCTTTTATTAGTTATGTATTCGATTAATATGTGGGCATCTATTATGAACAAATTTATAAGATTTTGGTAAAAAGTTGAACTATTAGGATTTCTAGGTGTATAAAAGTTAATTATATTTTGAAGTATAATATTATTTTCAAACATTGCCTACAGGGTGGGTCATGTATTTTCTAATGAATTAGATCCCCTTAGCCTCTACCTAGTCATTGATTGTCTTTGTATTGGAGAATGAGTCACACATACCTCCAAGAAAGGAAAATACATTGCATAATAGTAAATGGTGTTTCATGTGTGGCAAACCACATATGACAAAATATTGTCTAGAAAGTGTTTCCAATCGAGTATATCTAAAATGGAAGATGAGCCATTCAAGGAGAAGGCGTGCATGGGATTGTTGAAAGTCATCAACAACATCAATGCAAAGAAAGTGTACACACCTCAATGTTAACCTTCTCATTGTTGTTCGTCATCAAGTTCACTTGAACCTGTCTTTCAATTCTTTCTCCTAAGTATAAACGAACATGAGTCTAGCACCACTTATCACAAACTTGTCTCTACAAACTCATCGTGCAACACTTAGTCCTTAACCAAATCAGTCTAACTTGAAGAACTCTAAAAACAAGGAAGACCAAGTAAAAACAACTAAGGAACTATATGAGAATGACTTGTATTACAATATGAATGTTCATAAAAAAAGGAATTATTTAAGTAAATATATAATAATAACAAATTACTACGTACTAAATATTAGGCCACCAGGAGTACCCACCAGTAACTAGGGATGAAAGTGAGTTCAAACCCAAACCAGATAGACCCGAACTTGGAAAACCTTAGATTGGTTAACAAGATTTTGCAGGATCGAAAACCGGACTGGTATAAATGAACTGATTCCGGGTAAGGTACAGGGTAAACTTGGTTTGGAACCGGAATACTAGGAAACATCAAAGTTGGTCCGAGGGAACCAGGTAAAGTGGGTCTAGAACCGGGAAACTCGAGAAATTATTGAGTTAGTTGAACTTTGAAAATTTACAGCGTTGATATTCTGATTTCAGGGGACTATTAGTCATTGAATATTAAACCAAAAATGACAAAACTATAACCTGAAATCATGCACAAACTCTAAAATACACGTTATAGAAAACCTCATTATAATCCGACTTACGAATGAGATATGCATGTTTTAAACTTTTCACAAAAACCGGTTCCAAATCCTAACATTGGTTTCGGTTCTTAAACCCAGTTTAACTAGACCCGAAGGACCCGAAACCCCGAGATAGTCATTCTTTAAACTTGAAATCCAGACCAGTTCTAACAGTTTCGGTTCCAATCCAGTTCGATCCAATTTTTTAATTTTAAATCTCATTCCTGCCACAAACCGTGAATGTTGATATTCCCACCACTAGTGCGACATCATTATATCCATCTTATTTTTTTAGATAAAAAATATATTTTAATTATTTATAATATAAAGAGAAGTAGGGATGGAGAGAGATAGAAACTAATTGGACATTGTGGTTCATCTCTCCGCTACAAATGACCATGTACAACTACCAACTATTAACCACCATGATGGTGTTCACGGAGAATGGTTGTTGTCAAATGGACCAGGGTGACGTACGTAATATGTATTCCAGATAGCATTAACACAAGTCTTCTCCAAGCGCACTGATACAAGTAAATAGATAGACATCTTTTAAACAATCGTATTCTAGATACTTACAAAAACTTTTTACACAACTCTACCTCCGGATCTTTCCACCAGTTTTGAAGGTTGCCACTATACGTATCAGATTCACTCAAATAGTATCACGTTCACTCAAATAAATTATCAGATTATTAGGGTTACACACATTATTCCATTCAAATGGTACAAAAAGCAATTTGGATCATCTTTTTGAAGCCTCAACATCCATTAAAAGGAACCTCGACGACACCTTTTCCTATTATGAGCAACTCCTTCAGAGTGAAAACTCAATGGATTATCAACCAACTTTGATTCTCTTGACATCACAACCAAGGCATAGTTGCCCATCAAATCTAAATCGTCAAAGACTGTCGAACCAAAAACAATGATCAATTTTCAACATAGACTTCACCTACGACAGTTTTTGTTTGTCCTAATAAAGGCTACATTTTCGATCCATATTGAGTTTAATAAAATAATCCACATAGACTTCAACTTTGACCAGTTATATCATCATCATCATCATTATCATCATCATCATCATCATTACAAAAAACATAAGCTGCAAAATGGCTGATATAATTTCAGCTTTTTCCTAAACGACCAGGCTTCATCATCATCTCATACAAAAATACAACAAAAAGTTTTCAAAAACACCATTAATGGCGGATCTAACTGTTTTTACCTGTACCCCATTACACCATTAGCAAAAAAAAAAAAAAAAGGGAAGAGAAGATTATAATTTCACAAGAAAAAAGATACTAAAAAAATTAACGCCATGAAGAAACAGTGAGAAGAGGTACATTGTTCCAAGCAAGCGATAGAAACCCAGGATGAGAATCGATCAAATTATACATTTCACTGTAATTGTAACTCCATAGCAGAATCTTGGCTTGACTCACTGCATAATTGCTGAAATTTACTGTTTCAAAACCGGAATTTTCCATTATTATCCGCCATTGTTCTTTCCCCTCCATCCGTTCCCTTTTGCTTCCTTCTTCCTCATGCCCCACCGCCGCTGCTATTCGCCGGCCGAATAACGATCTCTCCACCTCTAACCTTTCCGGCGAGTCTCGGGTCATGTTGGGTTCAAGAGATTCAAAGACAGCTGAGTAGTAGTTTAGGGCGTTGTTGAAGCGTTGAAGAAAGCCTACCTGATTCAAATTCGCTTCGTACTCGCCTAAAGTGACGATACTCGGGTTCAGAGATTTCGCCAACTTCAAAGCCTTCTCAACGGCCATGGAGTTCTCGTCGAGCAAATTATACAACTGGAGCATGAAATTAACAGCTAAAAACTCATCTGCATCGATCCAAAAGCTTGACACGTTGAGTTTTTCGATCGGAGTTAAAATGGGCTCGAACTCGAAATTCAGATCTAGAACCTTCGCGAACTCACGAAGGCGGTTCCCGGTTGCGAGAAGCTCCGGAGCCGGTGAGTCTCCCAGTATTAACGCTGGAATACCGGACACTCGGATTCGAGTTGGTTTTCCGGCGGGTCGGGTTGCTAGGGCTTGAAGAAGTGCTGCCCATTGAACTCCTTGAACTATCCCAAAATCGACGATGTGGATTTTATCGGCGCTTTCTGTTGCTTCAAGGATTGCTTGATTTGCAGTGAGGTGAGCGAATTTGAAGTAAGGACAAGCGTCGTTTAGAGCTTTGTAAGTGAGAGTGAACTCCTCCCGTGACGTTATATCGGAAACTGCTCGCGGTTTCCGAGTGACACGACTGTGGAGTGCTTCGGCGAAGTAGAACGCCACTCTCTCGGTGGGATCTCCGTCGTCAGCGGATAGAGAATCGCGGAAGCGAATCAATGGTGTGATTGCATTTCCGGGATCTGTTTCGGCGACTCGAGCGCAATCAGTTAGGGTTTTGAGCAAGGGTTTTGTCAAAATCCTCTCTGGTGAACTGGTAGACGCAATATCAGGTTTTGATGGCGGAGATTTTTCCGTTTTCGGAGGCTTTATTTCCTTCTCAGGCGGTAACAGATTATCGGAAGCCAGTACTGGCGGCGGCGGTGGCGGCCAAGTAGAGTTAGCATTTTTTAGATCCGTTGAGCAAGTGAGTCGACTCGGACAATCGGAAAACGGATCGGCTGCGTAGAGAGTGAAGTCCGAGCTCGGTTGCCACGTCGAACTCTCTGTCGTCGAGTCTATTAAGCTTTCCATCCACTCGTCGGTGTCGAACTCCCCCACCGATCCTGACGCCGCCACAAAATCGGCGAACCTAAACCCTGGATGCTGGTGGTGATGGTGATCTAGGTTCGGAAACTGAAATCCTGCCGCCTCTTCGGCTCCGGTCACATCCGCCGCACCTCCTTCAAACGGATCGGAAAATCCGTATGCAAGAGTCGGAGATTGGTGGCCGGTGGTGCTCCAAAATGGATTTACGTTCACAGTGACTAATGGCTGCTGGTGTTGCTGCTGTTGATGAAGCTGTTGTTCTTGTTGTTGTTTTTGCTGAATAACTTGTTGGGCTATGGCCATTAAATTGCCGCTGTCGGTGCACATATATGCCATTCTCCGGCGAAATATAGCCGGCGACGGTGTCTGTCACATCACTCTCTAGTAGTGAAAGATGGGGAGTATATATGAGCAACGGCAAAGTAGAAAAAGGGAAAATTTGAGAGTGAAGGGGGGAAATTGAAACGGTAGTCTTTAGAGAACAAAATTTCAATGATTAAAGTTATCCTTTTTGTCAATTATTTTCAAGTTTTAATCTATAAAATATTAAAATATAAAATTATAAGGTAAAAAAAGTATAGAAATTAAGTAAATGACGTTTTTGTCCTTTGAATATGTATTGTCTCTCTTGAGTCTTCCAAATTCCAATAATGTAATATGTTTTATTCCGGATCATGTTAATACTTGCAAAATTTTAAAGTCAATTAATATTTTCAATAATATTTATTTTCAAAATAACAACTCACAATTTGATTTACAAGTTTCAATATACGAGACATTCGCTAAAAAAAATCTTGTATGACAGGTCTATTCATAAAATCATCATCAAAAGATTTATGGTCTAAGACGTTTAATTTGATACTCATGATTTTTTAGTTGTTAACTAAAATATCATATATGGTGGTCCGTCCTACAATATGATCACATTTTGAGCTAATATCAACAAAAGATTATGTAGTCTAGGGCTGATTTTGAGACTCGTGAAAATGAAATGGATGCTTCGTATGGATAAAAAGTTATTTCTCACCGTTTTTGCTTTGTGAACTTCGTTTGAAAAGTCATTGTCGTGAAAACATCTTCAAAATTTCAGTGGCCGATTATGTTGATAAAAGTGTTGCATGTAATGAAACTAAATCGAATCGATATAACCTTCATTGATGATGTGATATGCTTTTTGTTTTGAACCGACAATTTTATTATTGATGCGCTCTAGCAAGATACTAGAGACAATGAGTACAAAGATTAAGCATAAAAAAGAGAAAAAATATGCATAAATACTAGAGACCAGTAGTACAAAGAGTAAGCATAAAAAAAAAAAAAAAAAAAAAGAGAAAAAAAATATGCATAAATTATGTACAATTCAATGGTGATACACACCACTTATCCCAATCAATTATATCACCTATGTGAGTTATGTATTTTCTCCAAGTAAATATTGTAGCTTTGATAGAATCCACAATCTTCGCCGGTTTCGATGACTCGCCTTTAAAAATTTGATCATTCCTAGCCTTCCACAGACTCCAAAGAGTTCCGTATAGAATACATGTAAGCAACTCTTTCTTTTTTGGATAATGTCCCTAGTTTCTGGCAAATGCTAGCACATCATTAACCCATGAGAAGAGTTGAGGGAGAGTTCCACACCAGTTAAGCACCATGCTTATAGTGTCCCTCGCCAAACTGCAGGAAATGAGAATGTGGTTTGTTGATTACTATGTGTTTGCACATAGCTCGCACATTAGGGAGGGAACAGAAATGTTTCTCCTTCCTAGTGCATATGCTGATGGAATTCTCCCCTGTTTTGCATGCCAAATAAAACTCACCACCATTTTCGGGGTCGAGTTCAACCACCAAAACTCCCCGTCACAAACCGGGTGTGATGCTTTGTGCTGCTCTGCAACCTCGCCACACTAAAATCCCTATCCACCACATAGTCTGATCTCCATGTTAAACACCCATCATTCGAATTCATTACAACCTTCACATCTATATTCAACTTCCATAATTTATTATTAGCTTTGTCAATGCTTGACCACACCCCACCCCTATTATGTTTTGCAAAGCAAAACCAGGGTCGATTTGTAAGGTTATGAAACCCACTTACAATTTGGGCCCAGGGAGATTAAGGGTATGTTTTGAACTTCTACCACCATTTGGCAAGTAGGGGTCAAATTTAGATTCCTTAAAGAGCCTAATCCTGCCCCCTCCTACATCCTTAGGAGATTTTAGTTTATCCCATGCAACTCAATGCACAACTGCCTTTTTCGAGCCACCACCCCCTGTTAGGGTCAAAGTTGTGTTGTAAGATGTCGAAATGTAATGTTATTTTACAAAGGCGTTTTATGTCGAAACTTAAAGTCAGGTCCTTCGTATTTTTTTGTATGCTTTAATGTTTTCCCTATAAATAGGGATTTTACTTAGAGTTAGATAAGAACTTGGAGTTTATCTTGTCTATTTTTCTCTCTGCAACCTTGAAGCATAATATGAGCTAAAACAAGATCTTATTTACTCTCTGTGTTTACAATTCTCATTACTCTGATTTAGTTTTCATTTCTCGATGCAACACTTCATCAATTGGTATCAGAGTAGGAATTATATCTGCGATCTGATTTTCATTCTGAATCAAAAGGTTTTTGAAGCAATTTTGTATTCAAAAGTTTCTATACCTTTTGTATTGAAAATCGTTCATGATCTATAGTTGTGATTCGATTCTATAACTGATTTGTTAAATCGAGTGTTCTTCTTGAAATCTCTGATTGTTTCAGCTATTTGTTTTCAAAATCTCTTAAGTTTTTCTGAAAAATCCATCCATACATTCATCGCTAATTTCAACTTGAACTCAATGGCATCCTATTCTCATCCTCTAGGATCTTCAATGAAGATTCCTATGCTCATGTCTGAATACTATGATCAGTGGGTTGATGGCATGCAAAACTACTTGAACGGGCTAGATGATGAGCTTTGGTCATGTATAACTGGAATTGTACTCCTCCACCAAATGTTCAAGCAATTGGATCTTCATCTGGTACTCCAAGTGTTGCAACTCAAACTGATAGATTGAAAAAGAATGAGAAAAGATGTATGAGATAATTACGTTGCATTGCTTCCTGTTGTTTACAACTATGTCAGAAGCTGTACAACTGCAAAAGACATCTGGAACACTCTCAAAGAAAAGTTTCAAGGGAGTGAGAAGACAAAGATTAATTTTGTGAAACATTGTTTGATTGAACTAAAATAATTCAAACAGAAGGATGGTGAATCGATTGAAGGTTACTATGATCCATTGAATGAATTAATCTACAAGTGTAATCGTAATGGAATTACACTAATAACCATGGAATTCAATCTAACATTCATCATGGGTTTGTGTAAAGAATGGAGGAATGTGACACTAATGGTAAAAACCCAGCAAAGTTTCAACACATCGACACTAAATGACTTGTACAATTTGCTAAAACTCATGAAGGAGAAGTAAATGAAATTGTAGAGGAATCAAAAATAAGTCTTGGAGGTCCATTAGCTTTGATGTCGAAACTCAATGAGAAGGAATCTGTGGAAAATGAAGATCCTGATAATGAAGGATTGTTGATAAACTCTGATGATGAAACAATTGCATTCTACTTGAATAATAGAGTGAAGAAGGTTTTCAAGAAACCATTTAATTCAAAGTCAAAAACTAGTGAGGGAAAAGGAAAATTTGTGACAAAAGCTGGAGGAGAAGAGAAAAAGAAGAGTGAAAAGAATGATGTGGAAAAAAAAAAGAGTTGAAAGTTGAGAACAAGCTTAAAGGAGACTCTAACATTGACTGTCACTATTGTTATGGTGCAAACCATATGGCTAGTGATTGTATACTTCGAAAGAAGGAAGAAAAGAAAAACAAAGTAAAAGACGAAGCATACTATGTTGAGCGTTTGGAGGAAGTTCAGGCAAAAGCGAAATGAATTTCTCTTGTGGCAAAAGGTGAGGATGATGATGAGGGGACTTACCAAATTTTGTCATCGAGTTCGGATGGTGAGGAAATGCGTAATCCTACGCATGGTGCTATGTATGCGAAGTTTGAGGAGGAAAACGAAGAAGCGGTGACGGGTCGCTGTTTTATGACCAAAGGAGGAGACAATTCACCAATGACGAAAAAGGTATGTTCTGTTCTTCAATCTTTCAATATTCCTTTAAATGCTTATAATTCTGAATTAATTGCTTTTGATGATAATGTTGCTTATTTCGATACATTGGTTATCTCTGCTAGTAACGAGGCTAGGAAATCGACTTCACAGTTACTAGAAGTTCAGAAGCAATTAGATTCCAAGAAACTAAAAGCTGAATATCTATAATTACAAATTACAAATTTGATGTGTGATAGGGATTCATTAAGTAGTGAAGTAAAAATGATGTTAACAAAACACAACATGTATTGTAATTCTGCTAAACGACTTTATGCTAAACTGACTGCTTTGCATCATTTATCTAACATAAGCAAGGATCAACATAGGAAGTTATTACCTTTTCTAGCTTTCGAAAGAGAGAAGGTTGATAACATTTCTTATGATTGTGAGAAAACCATTGCTAAATTTGATAGAATTCCTGATGATAGGTATGCTTATGGAATTGTCAAAATTGATGAATGTCTTGATGCAGATGAATTAGTTGATATTGTAAATTATACCTTGATCAGAAATGAACAAATTAAAATTTTAAAAAGGACTGAGAATTCGACATCTGATTCTCAATATAATGTTGGTGATATTGACGATAATTCTGATAATATTAGCGAAATTAGTGATATTAAGGATGTTGATTATTCTCAGTTGTCTATCATTAATGTTACATCTAAGTCTATGGAAAAGAAAAGTTTAATGATTCGTTGGTTAACATTGATACTGACAAACCCTCAACTTCAAGAGTTTCTGATTTTGACCATGTGAGTGTCAAAGATAGTCAAACTAATAGCAGTGATGACGAAAATGAAGATGAAATCTTGAAAAAACCAACATCAACAAAACATATTTAAAAGAAATAGAAATTCCACAAATTGTTGTTGATCAGATGTATGAAGATACGGAAAATTCGACAAAGTTATGATTGAAAAGGGTGCTCATTATCTCGAAACTAACACAGTGGTGTATCCTAACTTCAAATGTACAGATGATGTCATCTTTCCAAATCAAGTATTTGTGACAATATAAAATGTTGATAACATCAAAGCTGAATTCAACAAAATGGTTGAAGAAGATAATACTGTCACACCCCGCTAAAGCGAAAACACGAGGCATGGCAGTATAAAGGGTTTCATAGCAAAAGTTAAAAGACAACACCAACCATAGTATTAAAAATCATTACAA